ACGTACGCGTCGCCGCGCGCCGCGTCGATCAGGTCGGCCGCCGTGTGGAGACTCGAGAACGGCTCGGCGGCGGTGGCGGGGAGGCCCATCGTCGCGCCGGCGCGGTCCGCGAGGCACCGGTCGAATTCGTCGATGCTCTGCATCGTCGTTCTCGCTTCGTCGTCCGCGCAGCGCTGCTTACGATTCGGCGGGCTCTTCGCGAGTTTGATCGGCGACAGCTTCGTCCGCTGGGGAAGCTCGTTGGGCACGGGCTGCCGAGTTAATTGCGACGACATGTCTCCTCCGTTCAGGCTGCGATCTTCGATAAACGCCACTGGCACTGTAATGAATGGCAGACGAATATGGATTTTGTTTGAAATGTCAGTCTATATAATACACACTGACTTATACTCAACGTCGGCTGACACATTCACACTGCATTGAGGGTGGGGAATACTTTTCTACCTCATGGGATTGGTCATTTTGTCAAGTTTGTGACTTTTTAATCACTGGATATAACCTGCAATGTTGTTAGTGCTAAGGTAATACCAAATGCGATTCGTACTATTTAGTAATGTTGTCAATCGGTTTTAATTTCGTAATCGATCATCGGTTGGACCCAAGTAACCGATGATTGGTTACAATCGGTTACTCGGGGTGTTAAATGCCTGCATGTGCGTAACGTCGTGTGCATGTATGTGCTTGTTTAGCCCTGTTTACTGTTTGTTTTGCACTGTTTACTACTGTGTGTATAATACATGTACTGATTCTCATCACTTTTCCAAGTTTTCTTGTTCAAATTTAAAAAATTGAATTGAATTTATGAAATTGATTATGGATTTTGATAACCAAGCGCTTGGTTCGAGCCACTGTTCAACCGATGATCGAGTATAATCGATGATCGTGACATCACTAGGCGCTTGGTTCGAGCCACTGTTCAACCGATGATCGAGTATAATCGATGATCGTGACATCGATCACTACTGTTTAGTGTCTAATTCAGTGTGAAACATGATAACTAGTTCATCATCCTAAATGCAAATAACGAGTTACATGTAATTTAGTATAACACTTTACAGTGCTCGAAATAAGCGTTGTCCGGTTGTCCGAGACAACCAGAATTTGCGCCGGACAACCTAACCAGTCTGAGACATTGTCCGGCGGACAACCAAGAAAAATGTGACGAAATACGCACTTTATTTGTTTTTCTTAGGGGTTCT